AGTGGCGCTGCCTATCAGAATCCCTGAGGGACTTTTCAAAACCGCCCAGGTGACCACCATCGACATCATCGAATTGGGAGTGGTGGGTGCATGGAGGTACAGTCGTTACAAGACTGAGTGAATGTTGATACCTCCGGAAGCCGGGCAGTGAGCGCACGGGCGGGCGTTCAGTACACTCTTCTGTTTACTTTGTATATGTTTGAAATTGTTCAAAATAAAAAGCTTTTTATAGGATACGCCAGCCAGGGCTCCTCCCCAGTGAGTGGTGGAGAGCTAGTAAGGGTATTTGGGAGAAGCTGCTGGAACGGTTCGGAAGCACGTCTCTGGCTAGAGGCTCTCTGAGGCTGCTTCCAAAAATTGGCAGATTCTCTCCTGCCCACGTGAGTGCCGTTCACTGGTGGAAAAATACCACACCCTGAGCGCACGCTTCTGTACTCTCCCTTAATCCCCCTGTGGCCCCAAACACTTCTAGGTCAGTCGCCTGATCTTCCAACTCAAAAAGCCCCCCCACCCCAACATCAGTCTCTGCCAGGAGCCTCTTCTGGGCTTCCCCCGCATCTGGAAACCCCAGTCCCAGCTACACTCACACCCGGTCTGCTTCTGTAAGATCCTAGCCTGGGCCTGAAATGTCAAGGTCCCCCCCGCCACAGTGCCTGGCATGGTGGGGGAATTGGTACGGGTCAACTGGACTGGCTGAATTGCGATGAAGGTATCTTTGGGGCCCCCAAACTGTGTGATCCTGGGCAAAACGCTTCTCCTTGGCTTCTCACTCTGTGAAATGGATGATAATCCCTGTCTCGTAAAGCTGTGGGGAGGACTCAGTGAGATCATGACTGTAAAGGTGTGGCAAGTTGTGTGGCAAGATGGTCACCCCATGCAGAGTCAGCCTCTCCCTCCTGGGGGGGGGGGGTCCTGTAACCCCCTGGGATTCCCTCATGTTGGGAAGTGGCTGGCTGTTGACCAGAGAGCCCCGGGAGCCAGAGGGAGGGGCTGTTGGCCAGATAATCTCCATGTCCCCGGTCCCCAATGCCCAGCACTGGGCCAAGGTGGGGGGGGGGGGTGCAGAAGAAGGGAAAGGTGGAAAGGGAGAAATGGGGCCTACTGGCACGCTTACAGTCCCCAGGGGCCAGAGGGTCCAGGTGGCCCTCCCTGGGGCTTCCGCTGGCAGATGAAGCCTGACAGCCTCCACTCTTACAGCAGGACACATAGGTCACAGCGGCAAACACTTCCTCTTCAGAAAGTCCCATGTGGGACTCCAGCCTGAACACAAGGTGGGAAAGGGCCCGCAGCCTAGGGGAGAAGAGGGGTGTCAGAGGCAGCTACCCGTAGCCCCCAGGACGAAGTTCCTGGTGTTCAAGGTTATCTGTGCTGAAATTTCACACCCACCTGTCCAGGGGCACCCCCACCGTTAAATCACTCTCCACTCCTGAATGTGCTCTGTGGCCTCTCGGCTGTGCCCTGGCTGTTTCCCCAGCCAGGAGTGCTCCCCTGCTCCCCTCCTCCACCCAGTCACATTTGGTTCATCCAAGTTTCCAGCTCAAATATCATCTCCTCCTTGGAGTCTCCCCACTTCGCAGGACGCTTCCTCACATCTCCTCCATGGCTCCCCCCTGTATTTGGTCAAATACAACATGTACACAAATACAGCACGTACACATGGGTCCTGACAATGCCCCTGTCAAGTGGATACCCTTGGCCCCATCTTACGGATTCAGACACTGGAGTTCAGAGTGGCTAAGTACCTTGCCAAAATTATTTCAAAGCAGAGAAGACTCTGGAAGATCTGCCCCAGACCTCCCCACTATGGGGGAAAGGAGACTCGGTGGGCTGGGACAGGACAGGGGGAAAGTCACGGCCGAGACCTCAGCTCCTGTAGATTGCCTAACGACGATCTTGGGCATGCGTCCCAAGAACCAAGAGACTCCCCATATTCACAAGTGGGGAGCCCAGAGGGTCTTGGAGACGGTGCCTCGGTCTCCTCTGTGGCAGCATGAGGGGAGGTGGGGACAGTGCCCCAGAGCCACAGATGGCAGCGCTGAGAGGACCTCCTCCTTCGATCCCAGAACAGGTAGACCGAGCTGGACTGGCAGCCTCAGCGCCTTCCCCACTAAGCACCTGCCCTCCTATGTCTGTCTCTCCCTCGGCCTGGGACTCTGTCTTCCTTCTCCCTCTCTGAGAGTCTCCCTTTATCAGTCTCTAAGCACCCTTCACTGTTTCTCTGGCTCTCTCTGTCTTGGCCTCTCTCGGCCTCCGAATCTGTCCCGGGGTCTGCCTTTATCTCTGAGGCTTCTCTTCTCAGTCTCTTTGTCTTGTCATCTGTCCTCTGTGCCTTGACACTCTGAATCTTGGCCCCCGTCTTTGTCTGTCTGCCTCTCTGCCTGTTCACTACTCTGCTGCTGTTTCTCTCTTTTCAAAAGTCTGTCTATTGTTGATGCGTCTGTCTCTGCCTCCTGCCCCCTGTATGTTTGTCACTGTCCCTTTCTTTCTGTCACCCAGACTCTGCACTCTCTGCCACCCTCCCTATCTCCCTGTCTCGAGCACTATCTTTCCGAGTCTCTGTGTGTGTGTCTCTCCCAGTCTCTGACTCTGGGGAAAGCAGTGTCTCCTCCACAGCGCCCCCATCCCTGGCCTGACAGCAGGCCCTGCTTCTAAAGCTGCTCCCATGCAGGGGGAGGGGGACCCCCGGGCATCATTCCAGGGTCTGCTCCTTCTGGGTGGCAGTGCTGACAGACGAGATAGGGATCGGACTCGGCTCTGTCCGGGCCTGAGCGAGGGGGCACAACCAGGCTATGCGGGGGCGCCTGGGTGCCTGCAAACGTCTGCACGTGTGCACATCTGGGTTTGTGTGCGGGTCTCCCTGTGTGGGGTGGTCTGGGTGTCTGTCTAGATGTATTTGTGAGTGTCTGGGCCTGTTTATGTCTGTCTGCGAGCTTGTATGTGTGTCTGTATGTAGGGCTGTCTGGGTGTAAGCAGCCTCCATGAGCGTCTCCAGAGTGGACACGTGCGCTTGTCTGTGGGCACGTGTACAAGCCCCCGGGAGTACCTGGACTTGTATCCTGTGCTCGTCCAACACGCCAGGCCCCCTGCCCGCGTTCTCTCATGCAGCCATCCGTGCGGTGCAGATCCTATTACCCTGTCTGACAGAACTTGGGGTCTGGAGACAGATCTGGTTCAAATCCTGGCTTCGTCACCACTAGCCGCCTGACCTCAGGCAAGTTGGCTAATCCTGAACAATCCTGAATTCATTCAGCAGAAATGTATCGATCGAAACCAGATAAAACTAGTCCATGGTGCTAGAAGTCAGGATAGGAGCTACCTTGGGAGGGGTTCACAGGGAGGAGGCCCAAGGGAGCCTTTTGGGTGCTGTCGATGTCCTATATCTTGATCTGGGTGGTGTTTCCATGGTTGTTGTTCTTTTAGAAAACACTAATCAAGCTCTTCGTTTCAGATGTGGGCACTTTCTGTACATTATACATCAACAGAATAGTTTACAAAAACTTACTGAGCTTCCTGCCGTTTTCCAGGCTCTCAACAGCAATAACCGCAGTAGTGGTCGTGAGTGTGTGTTTTTAACATTTCGGGAAGTGAGTCAGTCCAGGCTTTAAGCACTCCCAACCCATTCCTCCCCAATCCTGTCCCAACCAGGATGGCACAGGGAGGACAGGGGAGACCCCAGTCCTGGGCTGGATTGTTCCCCTGCCCAATCTCTCCTGGCTGTTTTCTCCTGAGGGCAGCTCTGATTTTCCCTCTGGATTTTCACATTGGCAGGCCACTAAGGGACATTTTGCTAGGTAACTGCTGGCATTCAACGAAGCTGGGAACAAGATGCGTTGCAGCAGGGCTCAGAGCAAGAAATCAGGGATGTAAGATGCCCAGTGGACAGATACCACACCCGCTTGATGCATCCGGCAATGGCAGGCGATGCCTGGATACACACATGCCTGCTCTCCACCTGCAATATCCTCATGAGTCACGTCTGTGACCCAGTAAGAGATAGTGGGCCTCTACTATAGGCCAGGCCCTTGGCTGGGCCCTTCAACACACCTTGCCTCGTCCTCACTAGAGCTGTTTATAAAGGTCACTGTCTTCATCTTCCGGCTGAGGAAATGGAGGCCCACAGAGGTAAAGTGACTTCCCTCAGCTCACACTGCAACAGGAAAGACTCCAACCTCATTCCGCCTGTCGCTAATCCTCTGTCCTCCCTGGATGTGTCTTTTCTGTGGGTTTCTGAGGTTGCCTGAAGCCTTAATAAAGGAGCTAAATTCATTTGCTTCTGCCCTCTAGGCAAATGATTTATTGACTTAATGAATTATTTTTTATTCATTACGAAAACTGGAGTTTAAGCTGCCCTTTGGTGACAGGGTTCACTCCTAATAGGGATAGGCCTTCCTCGTTGCCTGAACCACCCTCCCAGCCCAAAGAAGAGCAGAAAAGGCAGACGTGATGACCTTTGACTTCTATATTCAGCAGGATGTACTTAATATTTGAAATGAATGAACTAATGATATACTTTGTGGACATACTCTCCACTCGGCACCTATAGCACCATGTTAAGATGATCTCTTCTGGGGCACCTGGGTGGCTCAGTCGGTTAAGCATCTGATTCTTGGTTTTGGCTCAGGTCGCGATCTCATGGTTCGTGAGTATGAGCCCCACATAGGGCTCCACTCTGACAGCACGGAGTCTGCTTGGGATTCTCTCTCTCTCTCTCTCTCTCTCTGCCCTTCCCCTGCTCGCTTTCTCTCAAAAATGAATAAATAAATAAACTTAAAAAAAAAAAAAGATGATCTCTTCTGTCTCTGCCTCCACTCTAAATTCCTTGATGGCAGGGCCTGTACGGACTTCTTCTCTGGATCCAAATTTCTGGGATCCCAAAGCCTGGCACATTAAAAATAAATATTATAGATAAATAAGGGTAGACCCCGGATATATGTCTGGACTTCAGTAAGACGGTTAAGTCCTGTGAATTTCGCTCCCAACTAAACGGCAGTGACACCAACTAGTTTCAATAAGTGGTTTTATTACTGGTTAGATTTTACAAATTCTGATATTCGAACAGACTTCCACCTTAAAATTCTAAAACAACAAAGCGACCGTTGGAGGGGGTTTGATTTTTCTTTTTTTTTTTTTCTTTTTTTAGGACTATTCAAAGTAACAAACTTTTTTTGTGTTTTTTTGTTTTTGTTTTTGTTTTTGTCTTTTTTTTTGCATTTTTGCTCTGGTCATAAATATACAGAGAGAAAAAGAGGGAGAGAAAAATGAACAAGTCATCCAAAGTATGGACATAAAACAGTATTCCTAAGGCACGTGGCAGTCTTTGAAAATACAGAAGCTCTAGCCAACTTAAATTATTTGTTGTTTTTCCTCGCTCAGTCCACAAAACTGTACAGTGACACAAATGTTGTGTTGCAGATAGATTTTCCAAGTAACTCCTCAATCCACACCGCTGCATTAGCCGGACGCATAATTTTTTCTTCCTCTGTTTCCAGGCGAGATCCTAAAATGTGGTTAGTTAGTTGCTCAAAGCCTCTATTTTAAAATACACTTGGAATTCAACTAAAGATAATTTCTTTTTTAAAGAAATTGTGGGGCGGGGGGGCGGGGGGTGGGGAGGGCGTGAGTCACTAGAAAAGGTTGGTGAGAGTCGTTTGTGAGGGGCTGTGAGGCTCGTGGCCCTCCAGGTTGCCAGGCACAGAAGTTAAGACTGACGTCACAGTTGGCAGGGCGGGGCTAGTCAAGTCTGTGAGGGTGGTGGGCGTGCTGGAGGGGCTGAGCGAGGCATTGGAGAGCTCCGAGGCTGGCCCCGAAGGCGTCCCGGTCTGCAACGCTGCCTCCGTAGACTTGTCCACACCCGTGTTTTCCTGCCGTAAGAGGTTGCGCCTGAACTTGGCCCTGGCGTTCTGAAACCAGACCTGTGTGGGGCAAGAGAGAGAGAGAGAAGGACTGGTTAGGGGAAGAGAGGCAGGGACTGGAGAGTAGCAGAGCATTCCCCAGGGATGCTAATCTGGGTTTTCGGGGGGGGGCGCGGCCGCGGATAAAAAATTGGGCTGGTAATATTTTGCTCTTCATAAAATAAAATTTGCCTTTGCCCTAATTGGCTATTACTGGGTTTCCCTTTCTGTTAGAAGGTTCTAGAGCTAAACAACATGGTAGGCACTAGCCATAGGTGGCTACTGAGCACTTGAAATATGTATGACTAGGGGGCGTCTGGATGGTGCAGTCGGTTAAATGTTCAGACTCTTGATCTCAGCTTGGGTCATGATCTCATGGTTCTGTGGGTTCGAGTCCCACATAGGGCTCTGTGCTGATGGCGGGGAGCCTGCTTGGGATTCTATCTCTCCTTCTCTCTGTCCCTCCCCTGCTTGTGCTCGCTCTCTCTCAAAATAAATAAATAAACTTAAAAAAAAAAAAAGTATGACTAGCCAAAAAGTGGCTCCTTGTAGATGAAAACACAGAATTACACTGGAAGATTCAGTATGAAAAAAAGAAGGTAGGATATCTCAGTAATAATGTTTCTACCTGTTATATGTTGAAATGATAATATTTTGGATATATTGGGCTAAATGAAATATATTCTTAAAATTAATTTTATCAGTTTATTTTTGTGCTTTGAATGTAGCTGCTCAAAAAATTTAAGAATTTTTTTTTAACATTTATTTATTTTTGAGAGAGAGAGAGCACGAGCAGAGGAGGGGAACAGAGAGAGGGAGACACAGAATCTGAAGCAGCCTCCAGGCTCTGAGCTGTCAGCCCAGAGCCTGACGTGGGGCTCGAACCCACAAACCATGAGATCATGACCTGAGCTGAAGTTGGCCACTTACCCGACTGAGCCACCCAGATGACCCCCTTTTTTTTTTCAATTTTTTTTTTATAAAAAATTTTTAAATGGAAAATTACATACGTGGCTCACGTTGCATTTCTATTTGACAGCACTGTTCTGGAAGATGTGCACAAATCAAATCTTGATCATTGTTCACAATGGTTGAGAGATTTTTTTTTCCCCCTTGAAAGTCACCTTTAAGCAGGCAACAGAGGGGCACCTGGGTGGCTCAGTGGGTTAAGCATCTGACTCTTGTTTTCTGCTCCGGTCATGATCTCATGGTTTGTGGACTGTAGCCCCACATGGCACTACCAGTGTCGAGCCTGCTTGGGATTCTCTCTCTCCCTGCCCCTTCCCTGCTTGCGCTTGCTCTCTTTCTCTCTCTCTCTCTGCCCCTCCTCCGCTCTCTCTCTTTCTTTTGCAAAAATAAATAAACATTAAAAAATTTTTTTAAAAAGAACTGAGCTTGGTATGAAAAGAATACCAAAGAAAAAGAATAAGGGTTTATTTTCATTTTTCCTTGGGCACAGACACACACACACAGACACACACAGACACACACACACACACACACACACACAGACACACACACACAGACACACACACACAGACACACACACACACACACACACACACACACACCCCCATCCACGCCCATACCTTTGCACACAAGCCTGTTCGCTCTCAGGAAGACATGTGTGGAAACTCATCTCCACGGCACCCCATCCCCCAACTATGACCACCTGTCTAACTGCACAGAGAGATCTAGCTGTACCCAGAGGTCCTCAGAGTACTTTGAGAGAGGCCTAGGAAATCCAGGCCACCGTGGGGCTTGGGGGCGGGGGGGGGGGGGGAGTTGTGTCTCCTAAAGAAAAAAGCCTGAAAGGCTGGGCCCCTTCACTTCCCTTTGCATGAGAAAAACACCCGCCAGAAGCCTCCCCATAAAACAAAGGGCCTTAGAGAATTCTACGGATTCTGGGGTGTCCAGTTGCATATTTCCAGATGTGCCTGCATCTGCCTGTCTTCCCAGTGTCTCAGGCAGGGGTGGGAAGACCTCACCCCTGGCCCCACCTTCCCCTGGGGACCACCCCACGACTTGGGCCTATGGTGTCAAACTAGCCTTTCTAGTTGCCTGATAAGATTTGTGCTCATTTAAAAAGCACATCCAGGAGAATCCTGGGGTAAGGAGAGAGACTTGGACCCTGTGAAGTCAGGAAATAAAGCTCTTTCCCCAGCATGCTGGATCTTCCCGGGAAGAAAGCACATTTTCCCCTGGCCTTCTGCCCAAAGCAAGCCCATCACCTCTTCTAGAGGTTTGCAGATAAGTATAGTGCTTCTAAGACCACCCTCAACGTGCTCCTCTTAGGGTAGGGAATCCTTCCCTGCCCAGCCTGCAGAAGTCTGCAGGGGTGAGACTGTCTCGCTAGCCCCGGGAATGGCCGATGGTAAAATGGATAAAGTCTGCAGAGGCCCTCAGGGACAGGAAGCGACTTCCCCAAAGTCTTACAGCCTCCAACAAGGCGAGAGCCTTGGGGCCACCCTTTGCCTCGGTCCTGGCCTGTGTGTCTCTCTCCAAGCAGTAGCTGGAGCAGGGAGCCCCGGGGGTGGGGTGCACGGCTCCCAGGTCCAGGGCTCTAAGCCCTCGGGAAGGGCTGGAACCAGTTAGCTGCCAGCTGTTTGCTCTTTCTCCTGCGTTGCCCCTAACAGTGATGTGTAAACAATGACACCATCTTCCACAACCGCCCTCTCTGCTTTACTGAATCTGAGGCGCTGGAAACCTGGTGGGTGAAAATCAACAACTCAACTAGAAGCCGGGTTGCTGTGGGGTTTGGTGTTGTGTTTTTCACCTGAAGCGGGGCTTCGCCAGAATTCTCTCCCGACCATTTTACAAAGTCCCCTCCCGAGCGTTTTGCTGGGGCAGGGCCCCCTGTCTAAGTCCACTTCGTGTCCTTGGGATGTGGTACAGGGACCGGCAAAGACTAAGATTCAATAATATGCATTGAATGAATAGCAATGATGATAGATAACATTTGTGGACCACCATGTCCCAGACACCATGCCACCCTCTAACATGCAGTCGTAGGTTATCTTCAAGATAAGCCAAGCATCCCCACTTTACAGATTTGAAACCAGACAGGCTCGGAGAGGTGAAGTCACTTGCCCAAGGTCACACAGAGGCCAAGCTGAGACTGGAATCCAGGAATATCTGCCATTAAGTCCATACGCTCCCTACCACATGATCCTGAGTCAGCAAATAAATGAATGAATGAATGAGTGAGTGAATGAGTGAATGAGCACAAAAGCAACTGTGGCGAGGTGGACAGAGCACCAGCTGCAGCTTCCAGTTCTGGTTCTGCTACTGACCAGTCCAGTGACCTTGTGCTAGTCCCTTACCTCTGGGTCTGCCTCGGTTTCCCTACCTGCACAACAAGAGGGTCGGACCACCCCCTCATGACCTCTATGGCCCTTGGGGTTCTGACAGTCTGGGATTTCCAGCAGGCGCAAGATGATCTGCCCCACCCACCCGTCTTCTTAAACCGGCAGCCCCTTTTCTTCATCCACGAGGAGTGCCTTCGCCTGGTGCCCAGGGGACCCCCAGTAAGTCCTGGGTGAATGAAGAAGCCCACACTACCGCATGCCCCTCCTCAGGCACCCACTGGCCCTGCATGCTGTGTTTTGACTCACAAATTCCCTTCCTGAAGATTCTTTCATCAAGGGGACCAAGGGAGTAAGTGGAAAACCCATTTTGCCTCACAAATCCCTTTGTGGGTCACTAAGGGAACCAGCCCAACGACAAAAGCTTTATGCCCAAAGATGTCCATTGTGGCATTAAAAAAAAAAAAGATTTTATTTTTAAGTAATCTCCACACCCAACGTGGGGCTCAAACCCACAACCCCGGAGATCAAGAGTTGTGTGCTCCACTGACCGAGCCAGCCGGGCACCGCTCCCCCTCCCACCCACCACCCCCACCCCCCCGGCTTTATTAACATTTCATTTTTCCATTGTGGTATTTTTAAATAACATCAACTAGTGGCCGCGTGCAAAGTGTCCAACCAGATGGGGCAAGTGGAAATCATGACACAGACACTCCATGCAGTTGCAGGGGTAATGTCTTATGATGAATGTTATATGAGAAAAAAAAAGAATAAAGAGGCTATGTCTTGGGGAGCCCGGCTGGCTGGCTCGGTCGGTGAAGTGTGCGACTCTTGATCTCGGGGTTGAGAGTTCAAGCCTCGCTTTGGGTGTAGAGATTACTTAAAAACAAAAGCTTAAATAAAAGAGAGAGAGAATTTGTCCTCTGGTACAGCAACTTCATAAAGAAAGTAATGACGACAAATAATATTCACTCACTAAGTGGCAGGCATTGTCTAAGGAGAGTTTCAAGCATTTCACACATAGTAACTCATTAGTGCTTTACAAGGTGAGCGCTAACATTATTTTTTTTTTAAGTTTATTTACTTTGAGGGGGGCCTCAGTAGCTCAGTCAGTTGAACGTCCGACTTCGGCTCAAGTCATGATCTTGCGGCTCATGGGTTTGAGCCCCGTGTTGGGCTCTGTGCTGACAAGTCAGAGCCTGGAGCCTGCTTTGGATTCTGTGTCTCCCTCTCTCTCTGCCCCTCCCCTGCTCATGCTCTGTCTCTCTCTGTCTCTCAAAAAATAAAATAAAAAACCTGAGAGAATCCCAAGTAGGCTCCTCGCTGTCAGCATAGAGCCCGAGGTGGGTTCAAACTCACAGAACCGAGAGATCATGACCTGAGCCGAAATCAGGAGTCAGACACTTAAACGACTGAGCCACACGGGCGCCCCACAAGTGAGTGCTAACACGATTGCCATTTGCAATTCTTTGTTGTACATCTGTCTCCCTTCTGGATTGGAGTTCCAGCTCCAGCGGGTCCCATTCACTGTCTGGGTCACACCCCACCCAGAACATGGCGGAAGGTCAGCGTATTTGTTGAACAAATGGGTGGCCAGAGAAAAGCTAGCATTCTCGGTTCCTGTGTTCTCACACAAGTCAGTGACCACTAACCAGTCATCTGAAGAATGTTTTTAAGCTGTTGGTGGCTAAAATATATTTTCTGCCAAAGTCACAC